GGTTGGTCAGCAGGGCTGCCAGCGGGCAAGGGGCACTGGGGGGAGGAGCTTGGCTGCTAGGTGGGTGCTGAGCACCGGTTCATTTTCCCCGTGTGTGCTCCAGCCCCAGAGCACCCACAGAGTGGGTGCCTATGATGGGACCAATTTCTGTTTGCAAAATAGACATGCTTTCAAGCTCACAAAACTCTTCTTCAGCTTCCAGCCCCAGAGCACCCACAGAGTGGGTGCCTATGATGGGACCAATTTCTGTTTGCAAAATAGACACGCTTTCAAGCTCACGAAACTCTTCTTCAGCTCTGTGCAAGCTCAAACACTCTGCTCTCACCCGCAGAAGTTGGTCGAATAATAGATTTTACCTTCCCCGTCTTGTCTCTCTAAAACCCTGAGCTCAAACAGGCGTACAAGTCACAAGATTCGGGAGGGTGTCCCCCATGTTAGAACTTTTCTTAAGTGATATGTCCCATCAGCCTGCGAAACACAAGGCTGATAAAGGCAGCCTTGTGAATGCCGCTGTGGGCATTGTGCAACACATCAGCCTGCTCCAAATTTGTGTTAGTTTTTCCACCAGCTAAAAATGCGCAGCTGAGATGGCAATGAGCTACTTCCGCCGCATTTAATCCACACCAGCTGGGGGAAAACGCTCTTGTGATTTGACATTCCTGGGAGGTCAGATAGATTCTCTTGCTGCTGTGGCAAGAATTTGCTGCTATATTAAAAAAGATTTGGGTTGGCTATGATTCCAGTTGGCCTAAATTACACCCCCTTTCCTGCTCTAATCTCAATGATTATATAAATCCTACAAGTTCAGAGGTTTGGAATAGTAAAGATGCTCATGTCTTTAACGAGGGTAATGATGTTACTCATAAACAGATGGAGGGTCTGAACCTGAATGCATTTAAGTGATGGCAACATTCTGATCACACCTTCTTTGATACATGCAGGATTGAGCCGGTAAAGAATGATAATGACCAAGGACCATAGCAACAAAGACCCCCGTTATAACTAACCATTGGGCATGCTTCTCCCCACCCTCTTTGTCCTGTAAGGTGCAGCATGTTTGGATACCCTGACACATTGCCCAGTGCTGGCCATCTACCCGTGTGCTAGGCAAAGCAAAACTTGCCTGGGTTTGGCTAAGTCATGGTGGGATTCACACACTGGTTGCCTTGAAAATTATGTTGCCTTGTGTCGCCTGGCAGATCCTAACAGAACCCGCATATTGCAGAGCCAGGGCTTTGCATGCGTCATCCTCCAGGGGCAATACAATTACATGTAACTGTTCGTGCTGTCTGCACAGCATCTAGCACTATGTGAATAATGAATATTATAATGCTCTGCTAAATGGGCATTTGCCTTTTTCCTGCTTTGATTGATCCATTTAATTGAATCATTTATCTTTAACAAGAGGGGGAGAAACTATCATTTGAAACTGTCGTTTTAAAATCAGTAAACAGTTTGCTGTGTAGGATGGCAAATGAGGTGCTGGTACATCAGCCAAGATTTCCCCCCAAAATGGCCAACGTTTAAATGACCATGAATTAGCAAATATAGCCCATGGGTTGTCCATGTTTTTACCTCCCCCCATCTCCATGGGGTATATAGGTCCGCATCTGATGCAATTTGATTTTTACTCAGATTATAAGAAGACAAGATCAACATAATAAAATTAGCATCTTTGATTTAATAATAATTTAATAAGAGCGGCAATGTTGTTGTGTTTACTAAAATAAAATAAAAGTTAAAATGTTACTTACTGTGAAACTACTAAATAAATAAATATTAATACATACGATACTGCAGCTTTAAAAAAATCCATCCTATGCATTGTCATAAAATAAATAGTACATGCTGCATGCTGAATAAGTTTATTCTGCATCACTTGAGTATTATCGGGCTGCATGACATTGTAATCTTCAATCTTTCTAGCTGGCAAGTGGCAACCACATCAAAGATCACCAGATTCTTTTATGAAGTCTCTGCAGTTTATGTACATACGCGGGTATGCTAATATATTTTTTACACACAATAGAAAAACTGCGGGTAATACATGAATGCGTATTATACTTGGATGCGTGTTATATTTGCTAATTTACAGTAAGTTTTATCGACACCTGCTAAGTATCCAGATTTCAAAGTGCTGAGCAGCCAGCAGCTTTCACTGGCTATTTCACTAGTTGCCTGCATATCTATGGTCTTGTCAAAGTCACAATTAATGGTGTCTTTAATCTTCTTACACATGGGTCACAGAGTCCAGTGTGCCAGGTTGCCCCGGCTCACCACTGACACAGTGGGGCATACTGAATCACCAGGAAATCAGAGGTTTTAAGAGAAGCGAGGTCCTCGGCTTCTCCCCAGTCTTGTACCTTGTGCGGCCACTTATGCCTGTGCTCATTATATCATTTTGATTTGGTACCATTTGCTTTGCATAGAAGGAAATGACTTCAGGGCAGTGAAGAGCCAAGCCCCAAGTCCAAATAAAGCATACCAGCACCCCTAATTCATAGCCTCGATCAGCCAGTCACATGTTCCCTCTCCCCCATTAATATACAGGGAGACTTTTTTTTCCTCTCCCCATCTATTTTAATCCTTCTCCCCCACTTAACTTTCCTTCCCAGAGTTGTCCCATCCAGCCACCGGCATCCTCTCTGCTCTTCCCAGCTCTCCTCCCAAAATGGACATTTAAGACTGTATTTAAAGCCACCAAAC